CGCCTGACGACGACGACGAGTCGAGCACGAGCGGGTTGGCTGACGAGCCGATGGGCGGCGCCGGCTGGGCGCTCAGGGCTTGTTGAGCGCGGCGGAGCGCGGCGAGGCCCGTGCGGGTGGGCGGCGGGGCGGCGGGGCGCGGTGGACGAGGGGCGGGAGCGGCGGCGGCGGCGGCGTGGGTCGAGGAGGAGGAGGTGGACGTGGACGCGGTGCGGGGCGTGAGTGCTGCGGCGCCCTTCTTGGCGCCCGAGGACGAGGTCGACGCCGCGCCCGCCGACGCCGCGCGCGAGCCGAGCAGGCCGCCCCACGCGCGCTTGACGCTCGCGCCCGCGCCCGCGCCCGTGCTCGTGCCCGCCGCCGCCGCCGCCACCGGCCCGCGCGCGCCTCCCGCACACGCATGATCACTCGGGAAGCGGTGCTTGGGGCAAAAGCTCGCTCGGCACGCGTCGCAGCGGATCGGGACGACCATCTTTGTGCGGCACTTGTGGGCGCGGCACTCGTTCGGGGCCCTCTTGCGCGGGGTCGGGGTGGAGGAGGAGGTGGCGAGGTGAGGGTGGAGGATTGGGCAGAGGGACGAGAGGTGCGCGTCCATGGGGCCGTTGGGGTCCGTGCCGGGCGGGAACGAGATTGGGGTCGAGCAGAGCGGGCAGGACGGGATGCGGTTCTGCGCGGCGAGGAATCTGTCAGACTCGACAACAGAGACGTGAGGTTCGAGAGGGAGGGAGAGGTGCGCGCACGTCGGCGAGGGCGGGGTCGTAGGACGCGCAGTGGTGGCCACCATCGGGCTTCCAATGCTCGAAGCAGAAGGGGAGGCCGCATGACGGGCACGAGAAGGGCAGGACTGTGTGTGTGTCGAGAAGTCGTCAGTGTGCGCCTTCTACGACAGGGGACGAGGCGGAATGAGGGCGCACAGTCGAGTTGCTGCAGGGCGAGGAGGGGGGTCAGCGAGCCGTGGACGAGGCGAAGGGGACGAGGACGAGAGAGCGCACCCTGCAGCTAGCGTCCGAGCAGTGTCGACCGATGTCGAGGAACTCTGTCGAGTTCATGGTGAGGCGGTCGAGCTGCGCGGTGGAGGGGCGAGGGGAGGGGGAGGAGGGTCAGCTCTCGTGTTTGACGCGGTGCGGGCTTGGGGTTGCTGAGCGAGGCCTGGGCAGTGTCGAGAGGATGGTGGCACGTTCTGGCGGGTTCCTTGAGGGTGGTGATGGGCTTGCGCGGTCGCCAAGCCGATGCTGAGTGAGGAGGCGGTGCGGCAAGGAGCGGGCGGCGCGGGTTGGCGACGACTGGATGGGGGCAAGAGAGGGTTGGTCTAGACGTACCTGGAGAGTTTCCAAGTAGATCGGGCGCTGTGTAGAGCAGACCAGAGCAGATGAGCGACAGGAAGAGAGCCAAGGAGATGAGGACGGACGACGCAACGAGGCCGTCCTCGCCCCCTGTCGTCCACACACCCTCGAGCTGCCTGCCAGCACCTGTACAAGCCTAGGACGAGCGCTCTCAGCGTCCACACGAGCCGCTGTCGTCCCTCCAGCTCGTCCTCCCCCGACCCCTCCCCACCTCAGCTCGCCGCCTCCCTCGCACTCGACTGTGCCCGCCATGGCCCCAGACGAGCCAGATCAGCCGCTCGGTACCTCGTTCAGCCGCACTCAAGCCTTTCTCGCCGGCGCACAACAGCTCACCGCCGTCGACTTTGACCTCGACCCGTCCGCCGACGTCGACCACGGCGAGACCAAGACGCTCGCGTCCCTGTGCGCCATGGTCCGTCCCTCTCCTCCCATTCAATCGAGTGCCAGCCGATATAGACTCACGCCTTCCCCCGCCCCGCAGCTCGACGAGTACCAGGAGCAGTCGTACCTCCTCGACCCGGTCCTCGAATCCCTCGTCGCCCCCCTCCTGTCGACCCTGCGCGCCCAGGTGCGCCGCCCGTCGTGCAAATTTGCCGGCAAGCGCCTCGCGAGGCTCGCCCGCCTCGTCTACTTTGTCACAAAGGTCCGCGGCGCAAAGACGATCGGTGCGGCAGAGCCTCTTCCCTCGTCTCGACTCGCTCGCACGCGCGCATGTCGACTGACTCAAAGCGCCGCACACATACACAGTCCGCTTCTTCCCACACGAGGTGTCGGACCTGTCGCTCCTCGTCTCGCTCCTGTCGCCGCCGATCTCGTCCACCACCTTCTCAACGCCCTCGACCTCGACTTCTACCCAGCCAGCGCCCAGCACCCTCTCGTCGACCGCGCCGTGGGAGCTCCGCTACGCCCTCCTCCTGTGGCTCAGCGTCTGCATCCGCCTCCCGTTCGCGCTCGCGCTCGTCGCGCCGGGCACGGCCGACCGCATCGAGCGCCTCGGGCGGCACTGGGTCGAGCGCAGTGGGCGAGAGGGCGAGGGCGCGGTCGAGGTCCTCGGGAGGTACTTTGCGAGGGCCGACGCCGACTTGGGGAGGCTTGTTGGGCGGTGTGAGGAGGCGCTTGGGGACCCGGACGGTCAGTTGTTGGTGCGTCGGCGAGCTTTCTCTCGCCCCTTCCTCCCTCCTCTTTCTCGCCTATCTCTCTCTCTCTCTCTTCGCGTTGTTGCCCGCCTCGCCTCAGCACCCCCTGACGCACCTCCCACCCCGCACAACAGGGCCTCTCGCTCCTCTCGTCCCTCCTCCTCGTCCTCTCGACCGCCTCGCCGTCGCACATCGCGCCGCACTTCCCGCGCCTGTACGCCCTCGTCGCGCTCCTTCCCGCTCCGGCCGACGGCGCGCGAACGGGCGCCGGCGCGGCGAAAGCGCGCGCCAAACTCGCGGGCAGGCTCGCGCTGCTGAGGGTCCAGGCGGCGCGGGACGAGCAGCAAGTGGCAGAGGGGCAGGGCGACGAGTGGGACGTGCCGCAGGAAGTCGAGGTCATTGTCGGGGAGCTCATCGAGGGGCTCGCGCACCCTGTGCGTCCCCTTCCTCCCCTCGTCCTTCTCGCCCCGACCCTGACTGACGGCCCGCCCTCGCGCCCGCCACCTCGCCCGCCCTCACAACAGGACTCGATCCCGCGCTACTCGGCGGCCAAGTACCTCGCGCGCCTCGCGCTCGTCCTCCCCGCGGCCCTCACGGCCCAGGTCGTCGACGCCGTCCTGTCGGCGCTCGACGAGGCCCTGTCGCCTGAGGCGCGCCTCGGCGGCGCCGCGAGCGAGGGACGCGCCCAGGGGGCGTGCCTCGCGGTTGGCGAGATGGCGCGCAGGGGGGCGCTGAACCGCGTCGAGGGGCAGGGCGAGGTCGTGGGGCGGGTCGTCGAGTGCACGATGCAGGTGCGCCCTCTCTCACTGCGCCCCTCTCTCTCTCCCTCCCTTGCCCCCAGCATGACTGACCGCCTTTCTTCGTTATGCACAGGCCCTCGCGTACGACCACCTGACGGCGCTGCACCCGATCGGCTCGTCGGTGCGCGACTCGGCGTCGTACGTCCTGTGGTCCCTGTCGCGCACCCTCCCGGCGTCGTCCCTCTCGCCCGCCCAGGCCCAGCGCCTCGCAGAGTGCCTCTTGTGCACGGCGTGCCTCGACAGGGAGGTGAGCGTCAGGAGGGCCGCGAGCGCGGCGTGGCAGGAGGCGGTCGGGCGATGGGTGCGCCCTACCTCTCTCTCTCTCTCTCTCTTTCTTTCTTCTCCCTCGGGGCTCGGTCCCTGCCTCGTCGCGACGAGGGAACTGACTCATGGGCTCGTCCTTACTCTCGCAGGGCATCTTCCCGCACGGCATCGACATCCTGCGCCAGGTCGACTTCTTCACCGTCTCGGTCCGGCACCGCGCCTTTCTTCAAGCCGCCGTCGCCGTCGCCTCGTACGTTCCCCCTCTCTCCCACTCTCAGTCGACAAGTCACGCGCATGCGCCTGACTCGACTCGGCCCGTCGCAGATTCGACCCGTACCGCGAGGCCATCGTCGAGCACCTCGTCGGGCGACAAGGCGGGACCGGCGTCGCGCACTACGACGCCGACATCCGGGTCCTCGCCGCACAAGCGCTCGGCAAGGTCGTCGCGGCCGAGAGTGGGCGGCGAGAGCTCGCGAGAGCGCTCGTCGAGGAGCAGGTGCGTCGTCGGCGCTCGCCTCACTCGGTTCCTCTCTTTTTTTCGTGCCAGGAGAGGCAGCGGCGAGCTGCCGAGTTCCCTGACACGTTTCTCTCCTGCCCCGTCGTTGCGCAGATCGACAAGCTCGCGAGGACCAAGGACGTCGCGATGCTGCACGGCGTGCTGCTCTCGCTGGCGGCGCTGTCGGGCGCGCTCGACGAGGTGCACGAGGAGTACCGCGTCGAGCTCCGTCACAAGGTGCGCCTCCTCGCCTTCTGCGTCCACTCCCAGTCCTCTGACCCTCTCTCTCGAGCAGGTGTTCGTCGCCGTCTGCAACCTCCATCCCTCGACCCGCTCCCTCGCGCGCAACCACCTCGTCCTCTCGGCCGCCCTGTCTACCCTCGCCAGCTCCGCTCCTCCACCTCGTTCCTCCTCTCGCACCTCATCCTCTCCGCCTTCTTCCTGCACGACGCCTTTGCCGCCCAACTGGGGCGACGTCGTCCGGCTCGCGTGCGACCGCAGCGAGGAGTCCGTGCACGCCGCCGCCGGCGACGCACTACGGGCTCTTTCCCGGGCCGTCGACTGCACGGCCGACATCGACAAGTGCGTCCTCGGTCTCTCTCTTCGCCCCCTCTTTGCGGCTCACAGAGCGCTCACGTCGTCCGGCCGGCCCTCCCTCTCACGCAGGCTCCTCGCCGACCTCGACTCGCGCAGCGGCTCGCGCCAGCAAGCTGCGGCGCTCCTCGTCGGTCGCGCGTCGTACGGCCCTGCGCTCGCGCACGGCGAGCGGCTCGGCGTCGTCGTTCGGCGGCTCGGGCGGTTCGTGCGCCGCGAGGGCGAGGGCGAGGGACGGGCGGTGACGGTCGAGGCGAGGCGGAACGGGGTCGAGGCGCTCGCGAGGGTGCTCGGCGAGCATGGGCGGGCTCTTGACGAGGGTGCGTCCCTCTCTCTCTCTCTCTCTCTCTCTCTCTCTCTCTCTCTCTCTCTCTCCTCGTCGCTCAGGTCGTCGCCTCGCCCTGACAACCTTTCCCTCGCTCGAACCCGCAGCCGAGCCTTTCCCTCCTCCCCTCGACCCTCGACACCCTCTGCTCGGCTTGACCGACTACACGACCGACCAACGCGGCGACGTCGGCTCGTGGGTCCGCACGGCGACCGTCGCCGCTTGTCGGCGCTCGTGCGCGCCGGCGTCGTGCGCGAGCAGGGCGTCGTCGACCGGGCCGTCGCGGGCATGGCCAAGCTCGGGGTCGAGCGGCTCGACGGCGTGAGGGAGGCGGCGGGCAGGGCCCTCATGGAGGTGTGGGGGAGCGACGGCGCGGGGAGCGGGGCTGGGACGGGCGCGGCGGGCTTGATGAGGGCGAGCGAGGTCTGGGAGGGAATCGCGAGGTGCGTCGTCGGCTCTCTCTCTCTCTCTCTTTCTCTTTCTCTCGCGCGCTCTCACAGAGCTCGGCTCGAGCGGTCGTCCTGACGGCCTTGCGCATATCCTGCAGCGAGGAGCGGTGGAACTGGCGGGACCTCGCGTGGGCGTCCGAGCGGCTCCTGCCGCTGTTGAGCGTGCCCGAGTACCGCGACGACGTGCTCGAGGGCGCCATCTTGTCGAACGTGCGTCCTCGGCTTTCTCTCTCTCTCGGCGGGCGGTACCAGCCTGGGCGCGACGACTGACGCGCCTGCGTCCCTCGCAGACGGCCTACTCGTCCTCGACGCCGCTCCTCGACTTTGCCCTCCTCCTTCCGTCTTGTCCCACTCCTGACGACACCTCACTCTACACTCTCTCGTCGTTCCTCTCGTCCCTGTACGCGCTCGGCAAAGCCGACCTTTCGTCGAACCGGCTCTTCGTCCCCTTTCTCTCGCTCGTCGCCTCGCTCGCCGAGACGGGCGCGCTCGACGACCTCGCCCTCGACAGCGACGACGGGTCGTCAGCCGGGCCCAGGACGCTCCGCAACTTGCTCGGACTCGCCTGCAGCGGCGTCGGGCGCGTCAAGAACCCGGCGAGGCTCGGCGCGGCGGCAAAAGTGTGCGTCGCGAGCCCGTTCCTCTGCGTGTCACCCGGTGCGCCCGACCTGAGTCGCGCCTGACCGACTCTCCTTGTTGGCACTCCGCGACGCAGTGCGACCGCCTTTCTTGCGCTCCCGGCGCCGGTCGCTCGGGCCGCCGCACCTCGACTCGCCCTCTTCCTCGCGCACCCTCAGCCCTGGGTGCGTCTCTCCACCCCCCCCCCCCCTCTCTCTCTCTGCGCCCTCTCTCCTCTGTCTCCCTTGCCGACGACCTGACCTCGCTCGACGTGTATCCTCGCAGCTGCGACAGCAGACGGCCGACGACCTGTTTGGCGCCCTGAGCGCACTTGGCCTCGTCGAGGAGGGAGGCGAGCTCGAGCGGCTCTTGACCGACACGGCGTGGTGCGTCTCTCTCTCTCTCTCTTTCTCTTCCTTCCTCTGTCTTCTCTCGCCCGGACACTCACGTCCTCACACCCTCGCGCAGGACGGCCAACGACGTGCAGGCGCCCGCAGAGCACGTCTCGCAGCTCGTCCTCTCGCTCATCGAGGCCCGATAGATCTAGAAACGGACCTGCACTGCATTGCGAAGTTGCGAAAATACGAGGTTGCGCGAGGGGAGACTATGAACAGAGAGAGAGACAGAATACATCGAGAGAGCGAGTAGCTACAAAAGAAGGGGGGGGGGGGGGGGGGGAGAGGAGAACGGCACGAGAGAAAGGAAGAAGTGAAAAAGCGGCTCGAGCTCCCGCTTCAGACGACTCGCGCGTCGGCGGTGGTGGCCCGGTCGCCGCCGCCGCCGCCGAGGAGCGACGGGGTGCGGCGCAGTTGGGCCATCTCTGCCTGGGGCGGCACCTCGAGCCTGGCATGGACCGAGTAGCCCCTCGTGCGCGCTCCCTTGCGCCACCCCGTGGCGGCGCCGCCCAGCTCGACCCCCGCCGCCCCCTCTCTCCTCGCCCTCGCGCCCGCCCCGCCCACACTCCCCGCATCCCGCTCGTCCTCGTCGTCGTGCGGCACGAGCGCATTGACGACCGTCGTGGCGTACTCGGCGCGCCACCACTCGAGCTCGCGCTGGAGCGAGACGTGCACGTGCAGGTACGAGAGGGCGCCCCAGCAGAGGGCCCAGATGAAAAAGAGGCCGAGGACGAACCCAAACGCGAATTCGAGGCTGGGGCGCGCGAGCGAGTGGGTCAGGGGGCCGGGCCCGAGAGAGAGGGAGAGGGAGAGACGCACTCGGCAGTCCAGTCGACGGCGGCCGTGACGCCGACAAAGATGGCCATGCCGACGGCCCACAGGAGCGTCTGGTTCCACATCATGGCGCGGAACGGCGGCGAGGCGGCGTACCTGCGGCGACGAGCGAGAGAAACAGTCCGTGTCAGTCCTCGAGGGACCTTCTCAAGTCGCGCCTCCGTCGGCCGAAACTCGCAAAACAAAGAGAGAAAGAGAGAGAGCGAGCGGGACGCACCGAGCCTGGCACCGTTTCCTCCACTCGCGCCCGTGTTGGAAATCGACCGCCCCGCAGTCCTCGAGGGCGTAGTAGACGGCCGGCTTGGACGGCGTGCAAGGCGGGTCGGACGAGAGCCAGAACGGGACGCGCCACACTTTGAGCGACACGGTGAAGAGGATCATGACGGGGATGACGAGCATCGCGAGCGAGAACAGGTAAAAGTTGCTGGCGAGGGCGCGAGACGAAGGGTCAGTGACCGGGCACACAAGATTCGCGCGAGGAGGTGGACGAGGGCCGACGCACAAGAGCGGGATGGCGGGCGCGATCGCGAGCGGGACGGCCATTGAGAAGAGGCCGGCCTGGTACATCCACATGGTCGCGTCGAGGTACCACCACGAGCGCGGCATGTCCTTGGGGAGCCAGCGCTTGCCCGCGCGCTCAAAGGCCGGGTCGGGCGCGAACGGGTAGTGCAGCGGGCCGTACTTGGCGCGGTGACGGGTGACTGTGCGCGAATAGAACGGTCAGGATGTGCGGCTCGACTCGCGCGAACCTGGGAGGAGGGACGAGGACGCACGGCGCCACATGCGGAACGGAGCGTCGAAGCACGACGATGCGCCGAGCGCAGCCGAACCAATGCCGATGAGCTCCTTGTCGCTGATGGGCGTGTTGTCGCGCAGGACGTAGAAGAGGATCTGTGTCGGACGAGGCGAGGGGTGAGCTGTCGGCGTCTCGTCACCTCGAGGGAGGGGGGGACGCACACAAGGAATGGCGACGTTGAAGACGAGGAGGAAGCACAGGTACAGCAGCGGTCCCTTGACGCCGAAGTGGAACGTGTCGAGCCGAGGCGGATGGTCCGGGTTGAGGATGGTCGTCTCGGGGAGGGTGACGGCCGACGGTGAGCGCTCGCGGTTGGTGCCCGGTCGGACGTAGGCCTCGACAGGGACGGTGAGCTGTGCGGTCGACTGGGCGTCTGCCGCTGCTCCTGCCGTGGTTGTGGTCGCGGTCGACGACGAGGCCGACGACGAAAGCCGATTTTCGTCGCCGCTCGTCGCGGTCGGTGGCTCGTCGTGTAGTGGTGGTGGAGCCGTGACGGTGATGTGCGGCATTGCACTGCTCGTGGGTGCTGTAGCTTGAGCGGTGGGACGAGAGAGAGTGTCCGAGCGAGCGAAGGTCGACGTCACTTCGGCGGCCTCCGTCGACGCGTGCGTGCGGAGCCTCGGCGCGAGGTGCGAGCTTGTGCAGCTGCGCGTCGAGCTGTCGAGAGCGAACGCGTCCTTCTCTCCTCTCTCTGCACCTCTGCTCAGCGTCGAAGCTCGAAGCCCGCGCGCTTCCTCCCTCGCAAGCCAGCCGCCGTTCGGATCCGCGCTTGCCGCCCGCCCGCCGCCCGCCGCTCTCGGTCGACCAACCTCCGCCCGCCCGGCTTTCGTCAGCTCAGAAGTGCGTCAGCATTCTCCCTCCTTCGCCCTCACCTCGTCGAGCTCACCTCAAGTGTCTCTCTCCCCTCTCTCCAGCCACCACCACCACCACTCGCCGCCAAAGCGCTCGACCCGGATCACACGCCGAGCTCAGCTCGATCACGTCCTCGGCCTCGGCTTGTCCACCGCTTCCCCTGAGCGTCCCTCCCCGTTCCTCCCTCCCTCTCCTTCTACCACCACCACCACCACCACCACCCTCACGCCATGCCTCGCATCGGCCCCGAGCACGAGGACTACCGCCCGCGCGGCCCCGTCATCCTCGGGTTCCCGCTCGGTGACCTGAGCTTCGGCGCCTTTAGCTCGAAGAAGATGTTCGACGCCCGGTGGCACCTGCGCCCTCAACGCTTTGGTGCGTCCCCTCTCTCCCTGTGTGTGCGGCGAGGCGAGGAGCGACCCGAACTGACCCTGTGCCCCCCCTCCCCGACCAACAGTCGCCTATCAGCTCGCCATGCTCATCTGCCTCGCCGCCGAGTGCACTGCGACCTACTCGCTGTCCAAGTGCGTCCCTGCTCTCTCTCTCTTTCGAGACCTCGAAGCCCGGGCGCTGACACCCCTACGCGCCGCCGCCAGGTACGAGGACCTCCAGGACCACATCGAGGACCGCTTCGCGCCGGCTCACCTGTACAACAACGACCTGCTCGACATGGAGATCACGACCATCGTCATGTGTGTCGCCGTCGTGCGTCCCCCCCTCTCTCTCTCACACACCCTCTCGCAACGAGCCTTTCAAGAACTGACTCCCCACCTCGTACACGACGACGCAGGCCTGCTGGTTCGGCGCCGACTTCTTCTTCCTCCTCATGTTCCCGCGCCAGTCGTACCCGCGCTGGTACCAAAAGACGAAAAAGGCCATGGCCGTCACCATCTGCTTTGGCGTGTTTGCCGCCGCCCTCGGCTCGACCATCGTCGTCGCGCGCAACAGCGCCCAGATCCAGCACGTCGACGACGCGACCCGGCGCGCCGCCCAGGAGTACTACTACCGCCCGCCGTTGCAGTACCGCGACTGGGCCGTCAACGTCGCGTACGTGTGCCTCTTGTGGCCAGGGTGGCTCGCGTGCGTCGCGAGCACGGTCCTCATGTTCCTCGCCGACAAGCACGACTTGACGCACGGCACGAGCCCACTGTACTATGGCGCGGGCAAGGGGACCGAGGCTGGGCGCGCGAGCGCGAGGGGCCCGCTCACCAGCGGCGGCGGCGTCGGCGGCGAGGCGGGCACGGGCACGGGCGCGTTCGACAGCGCGAGCACGCTCGACGGCGGAGCGGCGAGCGCGAGGGTCCCGCTCTCGAGCGCCGCGGGCGCACCGGGCGTCGCGCCGTCGAGGACGGCGACGCGCGCGACGTCGACCACCAAGGACGGCGACGAGGTGCTCCCGGGCCCGGGCCCGAGCCCGGTGACGACGGCCGAGCGCAGGGTCTGAGCGGGTCGGGGCGGACGAGCAGCAGGAGCAAGGACGGCGGAGCGTTTCACCCCCTCTCCTTTGTCGATAGAATTCTCTCGCCCCCTCGCACTCTTGGATTTCTTTGTCTCTCTCTCTCTCTCTCTCTTGTCTCTCTCGCTCTGCAGTCAGTACTACCTAGAGCTTAATGCGCACAATGGACGATCTGTGCCTCGTTGCAGTACGAGAGAGAGCGAGCGTCCGAGTGGTCGAGAGAGTAAGCCTTGCGCCCGCCCGGACCAGCTCCCGCTCAGGCCTCCTCCTCCTCCTCGACAGCGCCGGCCGCACCAGACCCACCCTGCACGCCGCCAACCTCGTCCCCCGGCCCTGGTCCTCCCTCAGGAACGCCCACCGCCGCCGCCGCCGGCCGCTCCTCCCCTTCCTCGCGTGCCCCTCCCTCTCGCGCCTCGCCCTCCCCGCCTCCCTCCCTCTCACCTCCCTTCTCCCGTGCTCCCCCTCCCTCCCTCTCACCTCCCTTCTCCCCCTCTCCCTTCTCCCGTGCTCCCTCTCCCTGACGCACGCCGTCGTCGCGTACGCCTGGATCGCGACCGTCAAGACGTACGGGATCCCGAGCGTGAGCTTCGCGAGCCTCGTTGCGCTCCTCGGCATGCTGTTTGGCGTCCTCGGCGCGTGGGGCGTCTTGGTGTAGCTAGTCGTGGGCAGGAGGACAGTGCATCGAGTCGGTTTTGCAGGGAATGCGCGGGTTCAGGCCGTTCTCGAGAGGAGAGTCACGAGCATGCTCCGCACGGGCTCTCAGGTTCTGCCTCGGGTCGACGGGCTCGTCTCTAGCCTTGCAAACGCGGTGTGGCTCTCGAGGGAAGCGGCACAGAGCGATAGAGACGGGAGCGTGTGACCTCGCTTTGACATCTCCAC